TTCACCTTTTAAGTTGTATTACTGAAATAAATGAACTTTTGCACGATATTCTAATTTTTTGAGTTTCACTTGTATATAAGAAAGAATTGATCCTTTGCTTTTTCTGTCTGTCTTTTATATACTGCTTATGCATGAGGGACATCTGTTAGGATAATAAAAAATTAAATTGATATTTTTGCCCAGTGGCCACAATTTTATTAACTAACTAGAATTTAAATAGGTTGCTTATGACCAAATGTTTCAAAGAAAGCTGGAACTTAGATAGTAAGAGGAAGTTCTTACGTAAATTGTACTTTAACTGTATAATAATTATTTTTGCAACCACAGTTCATCAACAGAATATAGGCCGTTGTCAGAAGTATAGTAAAAAGCATAAGCACTGTGTATATAATAGTACAGCACACAATTCTGCTTTTTTATTTCTGCAAATTAATTTGTGAAATATAAAATATAAAATTCATGAAATGACACACATGATAATCAGAGTGTTTGAGCAGGCTCTGATTCTTATTAGCAAAAGTATCAGAGTGCCTAGAACATTCACAAATATTTAGGTTTGTTGGGAAATGGATAAATGTAGCATAGAAATATTTTGGTTCTGGGGTATTATTTGGAGTTGCTAAGAGTAAATAAAACTGATTTAAAATTACTCAAATTTGATAGTGTTACTTTCTGAAAGAGTTCTGTAATTGGATTGAAATCATTAAGAATTCCGGGAAAACAAGAATTGCCACATTGTGGATGATTTCCTAAGATGGAGGCACAAGCAGGCCTTATCAGCAATTCAGGGGTCTGACATACTGCAGAGCTTGTCTGTTAAGCTGTTTAGATCTTATAGATCAATGCTGTCATCTTGAATTAGGGTGAATTGTTCATAAGTAGCCAATCCAGCTCTTTAAGGATATTTTAATATCTTTATAATAAACTTCCAGGAATCCCTGGTAACCGAGAGAGGAGTTGTATTAGGTCAGGTCAGTTTTTGCTTGCACAGGAGGTCAATTATTAATGAAGATGTCCTTGTAGTGCTTAAAAGGAATATTCACTGAATCCATGAGTAATTGAACAATTATTTGTTTTTGTAAATTGTAAATTTTGTGTTCTTCTGATAGATAAATTGTACTGTGCGGTGTGTATAGCTTAGTGCCTTCTCTCTAGATTATATTGAATTGCATGATCCATGTCTGAGTTTCTCGGCTACATTCCCCCAGTTTCCAATATTTACTTCTTTCTAATCATTTACATTTTTCAAAAATAGTTTGCTTCTTGTGTTATATACCCTTTGTTTAATGCTCCTATTCTTTTTCTTTAGACGTTTAGATGCTAACCATATTACAGTTGTCCCAGAAGACAGTTTTGAGGGTCTAGTTCAACTACGTCACTTGTGGCTGGATGATAATAGTTTGACTGAAGTTCCTGTTATTCCACTCAGCAATCTTCCCTCACTGCAAGCTTTAACTTTGGCTCTCAATAAAATAACCCACATCCCTGATTTTGGATTCAGAAACCTGTCAAGCCTTGTGGTCCTGTAAGTATTTGTATTATGTCATCTCAATGAATACTTAATTTAAGGGACAAATGGATTTAGAACTTCATTACATTTTTACAAAGGAAAAATCCATTCCAAGATGCTTCTGGAAGACAAGATTTACATAATCTTTCCTGTCATACTTGTGACTTTAGGAGAATCATATTATCAAGTTAGTTTCTGTGAAAATCCATTTTAAAAATCATTTCTCGATTCCTCCGTAGATTTTGTCAGAATCGGAAGATTGCTTTTTTCACACCTAGAAACTTTATTCTTAAAAACAAAACAAAAATGCACAGTCGATTTCAAAATATATAATTTATTTGTTTTTCTATTACCTTGCTTGACAACCAAAGGGATTTTTTTTATGTTAATAGTTCACTACTCAGGATGATCTTTCAAGTGTGTTTCATTTTTTGTTATAAATCTTAATTTTGGGAAACTGTGACAAAAATGATTAATGAGGTAATGGATTCTACATCCCCTTTTCTTTTTCAGACATCTCCATAACAATAAAATAAAAACATTGGGACAACACTGTTTTTATGGATTAAACAACCTAGAAACTTTGTGAGTATCCTGACTTTGAGGTTCTGTAACAGAACAAAACATATTACAAAAGACTTAATGCCTTGAAATATTGACATTAGGAATTTAAACTATTTGGTTTAGAAAAGAACAGGCTGATAATTAAACACAATTATGCTATGATTAGCTAGATTTACATACATTTACAAATATACTTAATGCTTTGTTATGAAACAGAACTGGTCACAACTTGGTTTGATTTTCTTTCGCAAGTTATTTTGTTGCATCAGAGAGATAAAGAAATTATAGACGATCTTAACTAATCTTAATATCTTAAAGAAATCATTACAGTCAGTCACATTGTTGTAAAGTGAAAGGAAATAACATTCCTAACAATAACCCCAGATTGCTGAAGGGGGAAGATTGAGAAAAGGGACCTGGCATTACTCTGGAGCAAGAAGATCTTTGCTCCCAAGAAGAACTTGTAATTTGATAGTTGAATGTCAGCAAGAGGGTAAGGCAAGCACTGCAATAAGGAGTTAATTTCAATAATTCCATATCCAGATTCTATATGAGCTAAATTGGACACCCAGAATAAGTGAAAATTTAACACTATCCTAAGGGAGGTTAAAAGTTTTTTGAAACAAATGTGTGTCACGTGTATGTGTGTTCGTGCATTTATGGCATAGTAGGAAGCACATTGCAAGCTTAAACCAAGAGGATTTAAACAAACAAATTAATTATTAATTATTTTTAAATTTTAATTATTAATTATTATTTTTCATAATATCCCACATAATGCCATTGTTTATGTTCTTTCAAGGGATTTAAATTATAACAGCATGGTGGAATTTCCAGAAGCAATTAAATCACTTCCAAGCATTAAAGAATTGTGAGTATTACTACATATTCTTACTTTTTTCCAACAAAAAATGTTTAGTTTTAGGAAAGTTATGTTTTTCTTCTTGATAAACTAAAATAAATTAAGTTTGAATGGGGAGGATCAACTTAAAATAATCAATGATCTGGCTTTTGGGTCTGTCATATTTAGTATTGTTTAGTTAAGTGCAATATAGGTTATTTTTTAATGAATTATCATGAATATTATAATAACTTTCATTTTCAAAGAGATTTTATTTTCTTATAGCTTTAAAATTGCCTCCTTAGTTTTAAAATATATAAATTTTTACAATAGTTATAGTTATCTTCATGTTGTATCAGGTAAGTCTTCTGTATATCTCTCTTCAGATCTTTCTTACCAAATTCTTCCAGTATGCCTCTAAAATTCAGATTATTTTTACACTGTTGGTTTCGAGTGGCTCCAGTGTGGCTTCCAATTGGTTTCATTCTGTTTGCTGAGAGGTTTGGTTAAAGATAATTCTGGATAAGTTCAGCTTGAGTTGCCAGACTATAATATCTATTGTCCATTTTTGCTTGGAAGATACACTTGCATTTCCTAGTGTAATTATTGAAATAACTTATAGAAAAATTATCTTTCAGTACACAGAACTTGCATATAAACAACTTTTGAAATTGTAGAGAAGAAGCTATTCCTTCTTACAGAAAATTTGTTTTTACTTTGTTTCCTTTTCCTTTTTTAAAAATTACTAAGATTTTATATATGATTCCCAAATACTAAACTATTAATCCAACAATTTCAATTTGTTTTTAGGGGATTTCACAGCAATTATATTTCCATGATCCCTGATAATGCATTTATAGGAAATCCGCTTTTAAGAACAATGTAAGTTTTTAATCTAAAAAAAAAATTGTGGGGTCAAAAATAGATGCATGAATGATAAAGCTTGCCTTTTTTTTCTCCTTCAGACATCTGTATGATAACCCTTTATCCTTTGTTGGGAACTCAGCCTTTCAAAATTTATCAGATTTGCATTCTTTGTAAGTACTCTTCCAGTTAGTTTAAAATGTACTTGTGCTAATTAATCTTCTAATCCTAAATACATGTACTGTATTCAGTGGAATTACTTCTCGGAATCTTTGATTTAGATTTTGTTTGCATAAATATAGGTATTTACTTTTTGAAATAAGTGAATCTGGAACAATAAGTGTATTACAGATTGTTACAGTGTCCAGTTGTATTAGCTTGTTTAGTAAACAAAGAAAAATATTTTAAAAGAAGAAAGAAACCTTTTAAAGCCTTTGGTTAATGTTGCAATATTGCAAAGAAATGAAAACATTCAACTTCATAATTGTGATAAAAGCAGATCAATAAAATCTATTATACAAGCTGATAATGGATAGTTTATTGACAATAGAGTTTCAGTTGTTAAGTCTTGCAGGAAAGAAATGGTGAAGAGTAGTCCTGTCCAGCAATAAAATGACCAATGAAAAATAAACATTAATGCAGAAGATCCACAACAGTATTTCTATACTTAAGAAATAATGGCTGATGATAAGTTTTCTTGCCAGTTTTATGAAGATCTAAGTCAGTGATAGCTAACCTTATCCAGAGTGAGTGCCCAAAGTGTGTGGACACGCACACAAATGCACCCAAAGCCCCAAAATGCAATGCACGTGTGGCCCCCATGCATGAGCCCCGCCCTTATGGGCATGCATGTGCTCCCCACGCATGTTCACTGCCCCACCCTTTGTAACCCTTGTAATTATGTTTTAATTTTTCAATGGTGGTGTTACTGACCATTGTTAATTTTTACAAAAGTAGGGTGAAATATTTTTTACTGTTTTTTCTCTTCTATTCTTGCTGGGTGGAGGTGTTTAATCTGGCAAAATTGCACAGAAGCTGATGCATTATATTTTGGTATGTTTGCTAAAGCTCGTCTTAGTGGTTACACTGTACAGAAATAGAAAATTGCGAGGTTTAATACAAGCAAATGCTTGTAATTCTTACTTATATTGAAATTTGTTTAATTTTGAGTGTCTGTTTTATATTACTGCTCAAGTTCAATGCATCTTCATTTAGTTCCAGAACTTTTTCAATCTGTTACTTGAACTTCTAAAATAAAAGGTTTATGAGTTGACAATGTGATCATTTTAAGAATCACAATGTTTCTTTTATAAGTTGTTCTCCATCCCATAAATATATGAATAGCAGATAAATGTGTATTTTTAATTTTAGTGATAGTCTCATAAAACTTAGTAAGATGTACTTAGCAATAAAATGAATGGTTTAGCAATTACATCATACATTCAGTTTCGCAATAGAGCTGGTTACAAAACTGACTACAGTATCATCTGCAGGATATTAGTGCATTCTCAGAAATCCAAATTCTGGCAAACATAAATATTTCATATTTTCACCATAGTTCATTATAGTTCAGTACAAACAAAGTTTTTTTCCCATATGGATACATACACATATAACCTCCCTCTATGGCTTAAATTTGGCATTAGTAAATGTTAGTGAGAAAGAGAAAGCTACCTTGGTACAAAACACTAGCAAAAAATGTTAACAAAACCTTCTGTTTCCATAGGGTTGATTTTTCTGTTGAACAGTGTAACTGTGATGTATTACATTTCTGCTTTCTTTTCTTTTTTTTTAGAGTCATTCGTGGAGCCAACATGGTGCAATGGTTTCCTAATTTAACAGGGACAATCAATCTGGAGAGTCTGTAAGTATTTTACTGTCAGACTTCAAAAATGAAATAACTAGTAAAAGTAATCCCCCCGCTATGAACCTACATTTTATGGGCCTTGTGAGATGTGCCCTTTCTGCCACCGTGCCTCTTTATAGAACATTCTGCCCCTCAAAAGTAATTTTTGTGCTTGATTGTATTGGCACAAAAATGGGAGTCTAGAGTTTTTAAGTATGCTAACAGACTTGCTAGTGTATGCTTCCCAGTTGTTTGTCATGAAAGGAAAAGTAAATAACAACAGCAGGAACTTAATAGTCATGGGTGGCTTAGCATTATATCCAAATCATTGACTCAGGATATTTTAAAGAGGGGTTGTTGTCTATCTTTAACATAATGATGAGATGCATACAATTAATACCTCCAAGCAAAAGTAATTGGAAAATCCATGAAGGACTATGTGTCCTGTTCTTTGCTATCATTGAGCCAGAAATGTTAGCTTACTGTTTGTGTTAACGGGACCATTTTTAAACCTATTGTTATAAATAGGTATGTATTATTATGAAGTTGCTTAAGTGGATACATCAGTACTTCAACGGTACCTGGTTAAACTAGGTTCACATGATTTATAGTATTCTAGAAAAGCTGCTACTTTTAAAAATTCTTTTTTCCAGTGTACTTACAGATATTGGTATTTTATTCAACAGAACTTTTACAGGAGCCAAAATAAGTAATATTCCCACTGGTCTATGCCAAGAGCAAAAGATACTTCGGACTTTGTAAGTACATAACTTCTAATTCTAGTCTATTTTTATAACTAAGGATCATAGTGTCAGAAAATCAATCTGATGTTTGTAAGTTTGGTGATAGTTTGTTTTTTGGGGTATAAAAACACAACAAAACAAATTTGTGTACAATTTATTTATTTANCATGGTGGGCGGTACGGGTTTTGTCCGATATTGAAGTACCTTCCTTTTTAAAATTTAATTGATTTCCCTACTTTATAAATCACTATTACTGTGGAACCGGTGGGCGGTTAGAAAATTTTACTACTAACAGAGATACAAAAGTGGGCGGTAGGTATAAAAACGTTGACTACCTCTGGTATAGCGACTCAGTTTTTAGTTTTATAGCATTCCCCTCCCCCAAGTTTTTTATACCATCTTTTAACACTATAGTCACTGTGCTTACAGGTTATTGTGGCTTTTTATGGTATAGTTACTGATTCTAGTATTTCCACATGTTGTATTGATCAGAGATAGAAATAACAGCTTATTGTAATTATTTTTGATCAAGCAGTCACACATTTCTGCTTTGCTCTATCTCTTAAAGCAAGAAATATTAGTCTATGAGAAAAGGTATTTTCCAAGAGTAATATCATTTTAATAAAGAAGACATGATATCTTCAGTGGATATGGTTTTCATATCACATTAGAACATAATTCACTAAAAATGATCCTGTCATTGAATTAATATGATTGACACAGTCCATCAGGACAGTATGTGATCTATTTTTCTTATTAACTGCGTATGGAGTACATTAGAAAAATAAATATATGCACTTCATTTTAATGTTCTCTAAAACATGGCAAGCTATTTCTTTAAACTCATTTTTAAAAATAAATTCTCTGTATTGTCTTAGGTGTGTTCACCTATTCACAGTGATACACTTAGGCAGGTACACGTGGCTGAGTTGCTTTTAATTTACACAAAAAATAGAAATTGTCCATAATTTGGAACAACCATTACAATGAATTATTTGTTTCAAAATATCAATTAGGATTTTGTTGCAAAGTCACCTTAAGCAACTTAAATAAGTTTCAATTTTATAACACCTAAACTCCCCTCGCCTTTTTAAAAAAGAAATATAATGAAATTTTTTACAATAAATATCAGCTGAATAAAATGTTTTGCAACCTTTCCTTGAACTTCAAGCAAGATACTGATATTTGTACAGCTGCAAAACTCCCAAATGCTTATATAACTATAGAGGAGGGTCATTACATCCATGTTATAGAAAGGAAACATCATGCTCACCGGAACAGAGACAAGAATGGCAGGGGGAGGGTTGAGCGAAACAGAGGGTGTAAATTAGCAGGGGCTCCTTGTCTGAAATTATAATTACATCATTCATGTTTATGTGGTGTGCTTCTATTTCCCTTAGATATGGTAATGAATTATGATTCTCTTCTTCCCTGTGCCTTTGGACTGTGGTGTGGAATTTTAACAGGATTTCATTTTGTCCCCCTGTAGAATTCAATTGAAAAACATACTGACAAACAATGGATTAAATATTCCATATTATTGATCTAATAAATGCATTTATTTATTAGATCCTGCCTTTGAGGGAAAAGTGTAGGTGGATGATAGACAGTTAAAAATAATGTCTTGTAGAAGAAGCAAGAGTTACATTTTTCCCCTTGTAATTCTAAAATGCAGACATCATGTTAAATCAAATGACAGGAGATTCCCAGCAGGCAAAAAGATGAACATCATCTATGCACAACACATAGTTAAAGTATATAAAATTCACTGCCGTAAAATGTAGTTGTGGTTACTAACAGATACCTTTAAAAGAGCCTTACATTACACAAATTTTACTGTCATTAAGAATCCTGCTTATAATGGCTGGGAACCTTGGCATCAGTACAGACATTCAAAATGATTCCCTTAGAAATCTCATACTTTACTTAATTTCTGAGCATCTCACAGCCAATTTTAAAAAAAAGATTAGACTATGAAGGTCATTGGTCTTGTTCATTTGTGTGTGTGTGCTCGTGTGTGTAAGAATTTTGATTATAATAAAGTACTGTAAATAATAAATATAAAACTAAGCTTAAATATAAGAGACTATTTTGCAGAATGCATAGTCACTGTGTTTTACTTTGAATAAAGAAATGTGTTGTTGATGATAATTGAATATAAAATCATTGGGAGAGAATTCCTGGAATGTGTGTAAAAGTTTTTTTCTATATTTGCACTTATAATTTATCAGACAAATAGAAATACTATGTATGCATTTTTATTGCAATCTTTTCCAGACGGCTAGCTGGCAATGACCTTGCTTTTATTCATCCAAAGGCCTTGTCTGGCTTGAAGGAACTCAAAGTTCTGTAAGTAATCAAATATCAGTGCTTCATAGTATAATTCTTCTTTCTTGTCCATTCAGCATGTTCACTGATAGAATGAACAGAACAATATGTTTTTGCTCTAGTTTCCAATACAGTATAGAGCCAATAATGAGGAAAAAACCTTTTAGTTGCTGAGAGTTGCTCTTTTTTCTTTGAGGGTTGTTGCACAGAATACCATGGTTTCAGTTTAGATGAAATAGCTGAGGCAAGCTACCTGGTTATTTCTTCTGTCATGCTACCTCAGATTATGGTCATCATCAACTCTCCATATCTGATGGAGAGCTGAAAGTCAACTAATCCTATAGGTGCTGTCCATGTGCAAAAATGTTTCTTGCAGGATTTTCTTGCAAAATGTATCTACAAATTAGCCTGTATTCTATCCAAGTGAACAAATGTCCTCCTTATACCTCTTTATGATGCTAGTTAAAATGTTTTTGGGATAAAGAAAAAACAACTACCGTAGTCCCTGAAGGATTGCCTCTGTCCTTAAAAATGTTTATTTGATTTTTGTTTTTGTTTTCTTTTTTATTATATTAAAAGAAAATCAGATATAACAAGGAGAGTACGGTTTTCTTAAGAAACACAGTTATATTACATGATAGTTATAATATAATATACTGTGTGCTATTACTATAGTATATTACTATATAGTAATATTATAATACACAACTACATTTAATTCAGAATTTCAAAATGAGGGAGGAGGCATATATAAAACAGCAGGAACAAATTATGCTAAATAATGGACATTAGTTTATAGCTCTTTCTCTCTCTCTTTTTTCTAGCACTTTGCAGAACAATCAGTTGAAAACTATTCCTAAAGAGGCCATCAGAGGACTCAGTGGATTACAATCCTTGTAAGTAGTATTGCCTGAACATGTTAGTTGGGTTCATATTTTATATTTCATGAATTATTTTGGAAACCAAAATTAACAGGATTGTTCAGACAGCACTCTTAATTGTTGCAAATGCAACACTTTTTAAATTAAAGCTCAAATAAATGTACTAGAAAAGCCTATCGGTATACACAGCTCAATGGAAGCACGCTCCAGATACTTTATTATAGATTCTTTTTTGAGTTAATTGGTTTTATTACAGGAGACATACCCCACTATATTCAAGTAATTATACATGATTTAATGGTGTATAAAATAAATAGAAATATCTAAAGGAATTTATCAAGTGTGGGAGTGGGAGAGGTTGGTCTTGGTTAGTCTTTCAGTAGTTCTTGAAGATAGTCAGAAAGAGGCACATAAATTTAAGTAATAAAAACTGTTTCAAAATGCTGTGTCTTATGTGAATATTGACATTTTAATTTTTCTTAGTTTAGTCTAAATTTAGTTTCTTCTGTGTAAACCACTGGGAATTGTTTTATTATTATGGCAGCATAGAAATAACTTTTAATAAATGAATAAATGTGTTAATGATGCATAGATTGACATAAGAGTGAGATATTTATTGTCAAGATTCACTGAGAGGTATTATATTTTGAAAGGGTTAGAGTTCATAGTTGTCTTCCATTCCCAAATTTTAAATTGGTGCTGTTTTGACAATATTATGCTCCAGAGGCAGCCTGGTTAATTATTGGAATTCTGCTTACCAGCCGGATGTGAGATAGAGAAAGACAAAAACAAATACAACAAGGTGATTGAGAGCACTTTCGCTGGGCTAGCTTCTTCTATATTAGCTGAAGCTACAGAAGATCTATGATGGATAATATTATATATAATGCAGTGCAGAAATCTGCCTTAGATCTTGTATGGGAGTAATGATCAGAAGATCTTCATTTGGCAGTACGCCTTAGAGAAATGTTCTAGGAAATGTTGTGGAGGTTGTCAAATACGAAAGCTACGTGATTAACTTATGAAGAGCATAACATAATTTCTTGTGACTATATTATATAATTAACAGAATTTGATCTTTTGAGGAAGTTTTTATTCCAAAGAAAAATGCTTTGAAAATTGTTGAGGTGTGCAGTCTGAAAGTAGATAACAATATGTAAAATACTGGGAATTCTGTTTTTTGTCAACATATTTTTTCACTAAACAAATATTTATCATCTAATTCCACAATCTTCCAAATTAAATATGACTTGGTTGGATGTCTGGCAACTTTCCATTCTACATGGGAAGGGTGCTTTAGGGGGATTTTTAATTGACAAAATATATTTTTCCTCCTCAGAAGCTTTTGACTTTTTTTAGTTTGGGAGAGTTTAATTCCCGGCTTTCAATGGATGGTTTGATATCTTCTGATTTATTGAGATACACATTTTCCGCGTACTAATTTTTTTTTATTAAAAATGAAAAATAATGCAAATCTGCTTTTTAGATCAAAGATTTGTTATCTGAAAGGTCTATCAACTTTCTGACCCAAGATTAGGTTTATTGGGGATGACTATATCACAACCAAGAATAGAATAATCCAATTGGGTTTCCTGGAGAAGGTATAAAATGACTGAAAAGCAATGAAATATTAAATGATTTTTTCTTATGAGCAGAACAGGGGAAGCTATTATGCTTATGCCCTGTATAATTAAATTTTTGATCTTTTTTCTTTTCTCCTCACTATATTCCATTATATCATTTTTGTACTAGTAAGTGATAGTGCCTGTAATTCTACAGAGATATAACATGTAAAGGGATAAGGA